ATTATGACACATGGGATAGTTATAGTCCGAACTAAGTGGTATAATTGGAGTCTGTACAGACTCCAATTATACCACTACATTTTAAAAAAATTATTAACTCTAAGGATGATGATGACAGTAACAGTGATGGTGGCATAGATATAATACTAGATTAAGATATTGAGCCTGCACCACCATCAGGTCAATATCAATCAATTGACTTTCGAAAAGCATCAAGACTGAATGTAATCTCAGATGCATCAACAGTGCTCCAGCTCAAGTTTGTCCCATATGATAAATTCAGTCAAGCTGGAAAAACCATTTGTGAATGGATTCTGGAGAAGAATGGGCCAGGTGACCAGCTAGCAGAGTACTGGACCAGTTCTGAGGTTGTTGAACTATGCAAGAGGTGGAAAGCTCATGCATATCTGGTTATTATTGTTGGTTCTTGTAAAGTCCTTCTCTGGCAGCTCACTGATGAGGGCAAATTGCTGGGAGAGCCATGGATGGCAAGTGAATAGGAGTGTTGTTGATAACTAGGCTATAATGCCACAAATTATTGAAGCAATAAAAATTAGTTTGCAGGGTTTTTGTTTATATTTATTCAAAGAAGCTGCTAAATTTGTTTCACAAAAATCGACATAGACATAGACAGTGCAAATGTCTTGCTTGTGATTATAATTAGAAGAAACCATGTACAGTCTTGTGTGGATTGAAAATACTTTGATGCAATCAATTGTTTTTGTTTTGCTGAAAGTGAATTCATCTTGCTTTTATACACGAATGCTAGTTGTTGGTGCTTGTAACATAATAATAGGCATTAAAATTTAGTTCATTGATTTGGGCATAATAATAATAATAAGCCACAGATATAAATTCAAGCAAAGCCACACCAAAATTTTATCAGCTAAATTATATCATTTTCCAGCCACAACATTTTGTCTGGTTTTGTTGCAGTCTGTCCCATATGAAAAGATCGACTTTCCTAAGCTTTCGCATAATCAAATGGCTGCCGGCAGAATGCAAACGCCTACCTACTGCAGAAAAAGCAACTCACGATAAGGTTGCAGGTCATGTGGACAATAAAGTTCGTGTATCTACATGTCATAATCTCACATTTTATACTTTCCCACACCAACATGCTACTCAAAGCAGCAATTTTAATTAATTGGTTTTTTCGCGCGCCTGTACCAAAAAAAACCACATATTTGTGATAGGGATCGGCGGCGAAATTTTAAGTGACCGACAGATCCATCATCCAATCAAATTACAACTTTAGCCTATGACTCACCACCCGAAAAAGTTTTCTGCGCTGGATCCAGTTTTTTCGAACAAACATATTCCTTTTTACAAAATGTCAAACCCACAACAGCTTCAATGTCGCATGTACGAAGAAAAATATCCAGAGGTCGACGACCTTGTCATGGTCAACGTTCGCCAGATAGCAGAAATGGGTGCTTATGTCAAATTAGTGAGTATGCGTCACGTATCATTTCAAAGCATGCAAATTTAATGTTGCTAAATGGCGTATAATGTATTGGTTATAGCTGGAATATGATAACATTGAGGGCATGATTTTACTGTCTGAACTCTCTAGACGACGTATTCGAAGCATACAGAAATTAATTCGAGTCGGGCGTAACGAAGTTGTCGTTGTTCTCCGAGTTGATAAAGAAAAGGGTAAACGATTTCGATTCATTCAGGAACTATTTTGTATCAATTCTTTACTAATCGACATTGAACCTTCTTGTAGGCTATATCGATCTCTCTAAACGCAGAGTATCGCCAGAAGATGTTGCCAAGGCCGAGGAAAAGTTTAATAAATCAAAAGCAGTCCGTAAATTGATGATGTATAATTCGCGCGTTCTACAAGTTTTTGCTCATGTAACTTTCCCGCTCCCCTCCCCTTCCTCCGTCCGACTAGGTCCACAGCATAATGCGCCATGTGGCGGAGAAGCAGGGTGTAGTTCTTGAGGAGCTATATAAGCAGGTTGGGTGGCCATTGTATAAAAAATATGGACATGCATATGAGGCCTTCAAGTTAGCAATTACGTGAGTGAGATTTGTTTATGCAAGATCATTGCCAAGTCGCGACATGATACCAAATAATGTGCAACTCTTTCCTTAGAGAACCCGAAAAGGTGTTTGAAGATACGGAAATATCAAAAGAAGTTATGGACGAACTTTTGGCCAATATCAAACGAAGACTAACGCCGCTGCCGATCAAGATACGGGCTGGTATGATATATTATAAAAGGTTATTACTTTTACTATTAGTGAATATGTTATTGATGCGTGCTTCCCATTCTCTATAATCGGGGTCAGATCTTGAGGTCACTTGTTTTGGATATGAAGGCATTGACGCAATCAAAATTGCTCTCAAGGCTGGCGAGGCTTGCAGAACAGACAATATTCAGATTAAAGTAATTTTTCGATATCCTAATCTGCTTCTTGTTTGTTTTTCGAGATTCTGCGCTAACCGTTCGATCTACAATCATGTTAGATCAAACTAGTTGCACCGCCCTTATATGTGATGATCACAAATGCATTGGATAAAAATCTGGGTATTGAAGTTTTGGAGAAGGCGATCGTAAAAATTCAAGAAACGATTCAAAAGTCCGGGGGCGATTGTACGGTTAAAATGAAGGTTTGTTTTCAAAGCATTATAATCCTAAACGGTATTTTACGGGTCGTTGTCGTATTGTAATGATAATGTTATTTTCTGTTTAACTAGCCACGAGCAGTCAGCTCAACTGATGATATGGAATTGGAAGAACTTATGGCTCGCGTTGAGAAGGAAAATCTTGAAGTTTCTGGCGATGAAGATACAGACGCTGAAGTCGAGGACGAGTGAAGCATAAAATGGGGGGAGGATCTTCGTCCTCAAATGGTCATTGTGTAGGTTAAGAATTTTTTAGATAATAGAGATGCGATAATGTATAAAGCGGGACTACAGCGGAAGCATAGTTATAAATTTGCATAATAATAATATCTTGTCTCTAAAAGTAAACTATTTAATTTGCATATCATCAAGAATGCATCTGACATAAATTTGTAAATGCGGTATCAGTAAGGTTGGGTTTGCGGTGGCTTTAAAATACATCAGTAAATATTTCATTGTACGTTCTGAAGTTTTCTGGAGAAACTAAGTAATTGTTTGAACAATCGTATTAAATAATCGATAGCTTGCGTTCTCGATAAAGCGAGAATCGCGGTACACATTGCTCGTCTGCTTTGCGACTCTATTTCACCAAATGCCAAATTTTATTCCGTTTCGTTTCATCACTCTTTCTAGCTTCATTAAGCAAATTTGCAGGGTTAAATTAGATGTAAAAAGTTTTATAGCATTAAATTGTAGTGCCCGAAATGAAGAACCATTTGTCGACTACAAAAAAAATGACAAGGACATCATGATTATTAGGTTCACCAAAAACTTAACTTGAAAATATTTGAACTTACTGGCTGGATCAATCGGGGCAGGTGGTAATCTATTCTCTAGAGGAATCGATTCATAAAGAGGATCGTCGGCGGTTATAAAGCCCGGACTGCCCTCGATTGTTAGGTTTGTGCTTTAATGAAATGAAGCAACGTATGTTAGACTGTAAGATCAGGCAGATCGAAATTGAACTGATAACATCAAATTACATACATGTTGATTTTGTATTTGTCAGTATTGTTGGGAATTTGTCCGGTAATAAGTCGACGCCACGACTCATGAGTCTCGTGAATGATTTCCGTTGCGTATTTCTGATATATAAACAAGGAATGTGAGGTCAAAAAATCTTTTATGATAAAGGAGCACAAAACACACATAAATATATGGGCTACGCACCTTGTTTTTGGCTTCACCGCCGAAAGCAAATTGATTTTCTTGTTTGCCATCAGGGATCTTGTAAATACGGAACCATTCATTGGTAGCGCGAATAAGACCAGGCAGATGCTTCTCAACATCTTCAATGTCTGCAAATGATAAGTTGCAGAAACTTAATACGATTACTACTACTAGATTGATCGATTTAAAAGTTCACTCACCGTTTAGTTTGCCGGCAAGTGGATCCTTGGAGTCAATCACGATAACTTTCCAATCGGTCTCACCTGCAAAGAAGAGACGTTTGACATCATTATTGAACGTCAAAATAATGCAAGAAAAAATCAAGAAGAGCTACACACCCTCGTCTATGAGAGCCATGATCCCCAATACTTTGACTTGCTTGATCTGACCAGGATAGCCAACTTGCTCGCCGATTTCACAGACATCAAGTGGATCATTGTCACCTCTCGCTTTTGTTTCAGGATGAACGACGGTCGGATCTTCCCAGGTCTAACGTGCAAGATAATGATCAGTCATGTTTTTGATCCACTACTATTTAGATCCAAAGCAGTTAAAAATATGTTACTTGTGGGAAAGCTCCATAATTCCAGATATAACCGTGGTGAGGGAAGCAGTTTCTAACGTAACGAAGTTTTCCGTTTTTTGTGTCTTGTTTAATAGGATTCAAAAGTTCATCTTTGGATATCTAAAAATATTATGTGACAAGTACGAAACGAAACAAAGTAAGATAGACTCTTCAGGAGAATTCATTTTCACTAATTACTACTAGTTTTACCTCTGTTGTTGTGCACCAGATGGTCGAAAATCACTAGTTAACACAGATCAATTGTCGAATTTACCTCAACCTTAGCATTAGTCCAGCGAGGAATTTCAACAACGAAATTCAACAAGGTCTTGGACTCGTCGGCAAAGAGCGGAATATCATGCCAGCGAGAAACTACGGTTCCGTTTTTCTCTGTTTACAAGGCAAACGTGTAAGTAAAGACTAACTACAAGGTTGGCAGCCGACTTTTCCCCCTTTTCAATCAGCTATATATACCAATATAAGATCTGAAATCGAACGAGTTCGCAGCGCCTACTGTTCTATTTTGATATTCAGACATTCTGACGGGCGAGGTTGATAGGTTTCTACGTATGTATTTATGTGTACGAAAAGTTGAATGAACTAGTTTTGATCGTAAGCACGCCAGATTCAACTATTTATCTAAAAGATGAAATATTCTTTCCTTGTTCCCGAAAGTATGCTAATACATACATTTAATCGCGTGATTATCGCATGTATGTTGTCATACACGGTTTACTATAAACAGAATCTAATTAAATTAGTCCGAAAACACTGGACGTATGAAATAGTTGCACTTCATGCAGCCAACTTACTCTGCAGCTCAGGGCTCTTCTTGGTAGTCGATAAATGGAGTACAGTGCAAACTTGACAAGTCGGTGAAACCAGACTCAACGAGAGAATTGATTATCGAGAGATATGATATAAATTAATGGAAATTTTGGCGGAATTGGACCGACTTGAGTTTTGCCTGTACATAATTTTTGATCTACACATTTTGAACCCAAATTCTGATCAGTGTATGGCTGGAATTACAAACTACGTAAAGAATTCCAGAAGACAAGAAGATAATTAAGAGATTACATTTTTATTTTGTTTGGTGACCCGTACTATGCCGAATTTACAGGTCCCCGCATGATCGGGGTGACGCCGTTTCAAATTTATTTCTGCTTTGTATTTGTAATAATGGCGATGTCTGTCATTTACGTCAATATCAGTAAAGTGACAAGGATTGTTTGCATACAAAATTGTAATTGGATGATTAGTATGAAGAGTGAACTTGAACACATGATTTCACGCAAGCGGGATTTTTCTAAAAAATATACTCAATATAGATTATAATCGTAACTGGTTTTACCCTGATGTGCAGTCATGTGTGCAAAATGATGATTTTGGTGCTCACATGAAAATGAGTGGGATATTTTAGTGAAAAGTAATCAACCATATTTTTTAACTACTTGAAGTCCAAGACTGACTTTCCAACTTTAGATTAACTATTGCTAAACATAGATACAATGTTGACAGCATATTTATATTACACATACAAATATTATTATCTTTAGAACGATCCATAGATGTTAAGCTATTCGAAAAACTGAAACCGATGGTCAATGTATATCCTCGATGTAGAACGAGGCGTTCAAAAGTAAGATGCTGCGGCTCAATATAATCTCGAACTTTGCTATTATGATGTATTGGAGTTAAAAAAATATATTCAAAAGCCGTTAAACTATATTACCAAGCTGCTGCAAAAAATTATGTCAATATCCAGCCTTTGCCGAACTTGCTGTTTCTTCCACTTTATTAGACAAGAAAGTTCTATATGTTGCTACATTTTCAGGCGAAAGACTTTTTGACATAGTTATAGTAGCGAGGGTTTTTGAAGCAAGTATAATTCTACGATTTGAATACTGTTGCTTATTGGTATATATGTGTGTCATACTATTATTAAAGGTAAAATTAAAATTGTCGTGTAAACGATTACCGAGATAAAAGACATTTAATACATTCTATTCGTAAAATTTGTCAGGATATAAATAGGACTTTTTCAGTGGCAAAACAAATAGAACGATCATTAATGTAATTCAGACGTGATTATGGCAACATTAACAGATTACCGGGGATTGTATCAAGCTTACGTAAAATTGTCTACTAAACAGTCTATTATTTCCCAACATTTTAATTTCTTATATAGCCTTAGAATGTTGGACAAAAGACACGTTGAAGGCAAGAATTGAGTTAGATAACTATCGCGAGGAACTTTTAATTCATGACAAGGTGCTCGCTAAAGTCTAATTTAAGCTGTTTTTGTCTATCTACATTACACGCAGAAGGAAAAAATAAAAGGCTATATGACGGTTTACTGGGGGAAAGGGGAAATGTATCTATTCTTTGCGGAATTGATGAGAGAAGCAAATCAAATAACGAGCGCGAAATATGATCATTCTGTGTAACTTGGTATGACCCCTGAAATACGTCTGTGGCGTCATTGCACCAGCCTCACTTGTAGTAAAATATTTCCTACATATACAACGAGATATTCATTATTTTACATCCTCCTTCCCTATTCGTGTTAAGCGTAGTGTATCTCCTGGGGAGTTAAATCGTTACTTGCGCACACGAATCTATCGCCGGCCACTCCATCCATCTGTTCAACTTTGAAAATGTCTGAGAACGTTAATGAACTTGCCACTGTGTATGCCGCCCTCATCCTTGCCGATGATGGTGTGGAGATTACTGTAAGTCTTTGCTGCTGCATCCGCAAAGAAGAGGGAGAGATCAAATTTAACATCATGCGTTCATCTTTTATTAGGCTGATAAGCTGCAAGCCTTGACTAAGGCAGCTGGCATTGAAGTAGAACCTGTCTGGGCTGGGTTGTTTGCTAAGGCCCTCGAAGGCAAGAATGTGGCCGACTTGTTGTTTAATATCGGATCTGGTAAATTGTCTTGATCGAAAATTATCGCATCTGCGTTGGATGCAAATGAACTTTGTATTCATTCGTATGACTTGTTATGTAGCGAGTGCGGCTCCCACTTCGGCTGCTGCGGGCGGAGGTGCTGTCGCAGAAACCGCGGCCGAAGACAAAAAGGAAGAAGAAAAGAAAGAAGAAAAGGACGACGAATCGGACGAAGATATGGGTTTCGGTATGATTATCGCTGTTTCATGATACGATTGATCGTTTAACTTGATGATTCATTAAATCTCTTCTCACTTTCATCTTGTAGGTCTCTTCGATTAAACATTATCTTTTAAATGATTATGGGCAAACGGAACATCGCGTTGTTGCATATTATCTTGTAGCCATTTACAGAAAATAAAATACTTTTTTATGCAAACGTGCTTGTAATGATTTTTAACTGATTTGGTTGAACAAATTGCTTTGCAACGTTTTTGATCATGTAACGTCTCTATACGAAAGAAATCAAGTGGAATAAATCGTTGGAACATTTCAACACTGAACACTAAACGAAAGTGATAGTTTGATTAACTGATAATAGTTTCTCTCTTTTTTTATTTTTGAAGATAACCTCATAAGGTTTCATATTGAATAACGTCAATATACATCATTTTTGATTTACATATTTCAAACTATTTAACAGATTATACAAATCATTAATACATTTTAGATATGGCTCTCCGCAATCCTTACAATCAAGTTGAGTGCAGACGGGTTACCCCGATGAACAAAATCTTTTCATAATCTACATTGTTCCGAATGGAGGAACTTTACCTGCGCGAATCTACCCTCTACAAATCCACTTTGACCAGTCTACTTTTGTACTCCAAAAAATCTAAAGGACATTATCTCCTCAATGAGATCTATATTTCGCATTTCCAATATCCTTTTCATATTTTCACTCTCCTTTACTTCATACCAGTGAGTGGCAACATACTCTAAAGCGCCGGTCTTCACCTGGTGATCTCCAACTTCCCAACCAAACATTAGAATTTGATCCCACAGGTCAGCATTGATCATACTGATAAGCCGGTCAACTACCGCCTTCCCAAATTGCTCTAAACACAACATATCAGCCTGTAAGTAAACATCTTTCAACACGTCTATACTCAACTTGTCTTGAAGCTTGCTTGTATACAGATGATATAGAACACACTGGAATGCCTCATACGATACATCCTTTATATGAATCTGCTTCATTTGCCCTTCTAACCAATCACCCCCAAGAAGCTTTTCAAAATACGCACTTCGAGCTGCCAGCACTACTCGATGAGCTTTGATGCGCGATCCACAATCGAATACTAGCTCAACGTCGGCAAATTGTTCATCATTAAAATATTTCTCGAATGGTAACAAAGAGCAATTGACTGAATCATCCTCTTCTGAACTTTCACCAGTATATGCATCATTATATATCTCGAGACGCACCATCAAATCTAATTGTTTACTGTTGTCATCGCCAAGACAGAGATCTTTCAGCGTAATCATCTTGGCAAACCCATAGTCTCTATTATGTGTACCGAATTCAAACGTAGTCTCTAATAAATGGCGACATATGATTAATGATGGCTGGAGTGCGGTTGTATTTGGATTAGCATCCAGACGATAGAAAGCGAATCGGAAGGTCTTAATTCTAGTTATAATATTTTTCTTTTTTTCGTAGGGTGATTGGAATGCCTCTAGGTAAATGGCCACATGATCCTTAGATTTATCGTCTACTCCCTTTGGATATATTTTTAACCGCCACAAATACGAGGTGTTCTCCTCTGCTGGTGAAGAAGGATTCTCTAATGGCTCTCGAGTTGAGGGTGACCAAAATCTCTCGCTGTACATAAAGCATCCTGTAGGATGACAGGCAACAAGTTCGTGAAAGCCCCTTATCGTCCAATAATATGCAAAAGGCTGATGACTTGCATTTGACACACACCGTGTGTTGTTATCTCGAGTGTCTGATGGACGCTTCCCAGACGAACTTTCTCTCTGTTTCCGGGCAGCCAGGTTACGAAGTTTTTGCCGAAAAGAACAATTTTTGTTCATGTTGTATTATTTTCAAGGCGGTACGGCGACGGTCAGTAAGCTCGTTCCCAATCTGAAGATTAAGATGTGCTTTAACAAGGGACAACAGCAAGGTTCCGCAACAGACGGGGATTACAGTGGAGCCAAGGTAGAACATCATGTGTCAACTGCGGTCAACATACGGATGATCTGAATGGTGTGATAAGGTAATCTTCTCGGCCAGTAAGGATTTGATAGATCTCTTGGGCTTCCGGGTGATTGGAATTGAGACTAACCATTTTAAGCAAAAACCGAAGATAAGACATTTACAAGCAAACATTAATAATAATAATGCAGTTGAAGCATAAATGACTTCGAATATTCTTGGACAGATTACCGTATTGTCATTAGTATTAGTATTAGTATTAGTAATTTTTCCGAATTCCGGCTGCGTCGGTCGAAAAATGAAATACCCCGTTGTTGTGTGAACACATTAGGACTACAATAAGAATTAGCTCAATTGTCTGATTTTTAAACCAACATTTTCCCGCAGGATCATAAACGTTTTTTTTTTTCCGTTTTCTATCATATGGATTTACTCCTCGCAAAAGTTGAAGCGCTTGAATGGAATCTCTTATCAAATAAGGCAGTCGAGGATGCTCAACAAACGACAGCCATATTAGTGTCAAATGTAGTCAACGGACAATATAAACATGTTCTCACTTCTAATGAAGTTAGACTCTTCTTAGGAACCGATATCCCGGAGGATTCTTTTGCAGCAAAAAATCTGGCTGATGCACTTGATCTGCGTAAATATGTATCAGATAGACTGGATCTTTATCTCGGAGACTCGCCAGAATTTCAAAGAGAAAATCAACTGCTTCGTCAACTACGGGCGCTGTGCGTTGCTGCCGCTTGTCTTAATGCTTTCGTACAAACAGCATGGACTGGTCCCGCCTTTGACCTGGTGCCCGAGGACCTCCTTCCTAGAATCATTAGATCAGTGGGGGATGAATTGAAAACGAAGGTATTAAAGGAATTGTCGGTTGATGGTGAGAATGTTTATCACTTAACCCCATCTGCGTTGTTTTTGCTGATAGCAAGATGTATCTTAGTGGACAATTCCGACCGTCTAAATGGGTTGAAAACGACGCAGTGGTGGGGACAAAGAGCGTTATTTATGCAACAAAGGTTACTTGATAACCCTGCTGGATCGCTACATGGCCTTATGTTTGACTATTTTTCATCAATCGAATCTAAGCTTCCGCCACTCACTCCAGATACAAACGAAATTTACGTTCGGTTTAATTTAGAATATGGACTTTTACATCATTATTATCAGAAAGATACGTTAGCAATAGCAAGATTTTTAAAAGCTCAGGAATATAGCGGCTTGAAATGGAAACTTACGGGTGCTCTCGGAAGGCGCACCAAGTTTCAAACTTTTGATGTATCTCAGCTCCTTCTTGTCGCTAATAGTATCGAAGTCGAAAACAGTGGACAACAGGTGGACTCGACGTTTGCCATGCCTGACAACGTTTCTCTAAATGATGATACTCTGTTGGAAAGTATCGAATTAACAAGAACTGCAGATGATAATCAAAGAGACGAAACAGATATAGATCTTGAGAATCAAGGCAGTCTCAAAGTAATCGATCAGTGTATTCTCCTGGCATTTTGTCTCAATGTCAAAAACACAAGTCCTGCCCATGGCATCACTAATGAGCAAATGGAACCGTACGTAGCCCGCGTTTTGGAGAATCCCAATAATTGGATGGTTCATACAATGGGTCTTCTTCTCCGGTCTCGCCTGGAGAAAGAAAAGTCGCGCACTGTTGAGCGATCTGCCCTTCAACTCCAAGCATTAGTTGATCAATTTCCCATGGAGATTTCTAGTGCTCAGGAGCGTATCCAATATTTTTATGTGATGCTATTACCATCGAAATGGGAAATGGAAAAGGAGCTCGCCGAAAGATTTATTTCACTTGGAGTCATACGTTCGGCACTACAGATATTCGAGCGACTAGAGATGTGGGAAGACGTAATAAATTGCTATATAATGCTTGAGAAACACAAGACAGCCACCGAAATTATTATTGATCGATTGAACATGACGCCAGATTCTCCTATACTTTACTGTTTGCTTGGCGACGTGGAACAAAATCCTATAAACTGGGAGCGCGCCTGGGAATTATCCGGGCATAAATTTGCACGAGCTATGCGATCACTCGGCGGATATTGGTTCAAAAAAGAGGAATATTCCAAATGTATTGAATGCTATAAAAAAGCGCTAAAAATTAACCCTTTATTCGACAAATCTTGGTTTATTCAAGGTTGCGCGGCTATGCGTATCAACGACTGGGTTACCGCGGCAGAGGCGTTTGTACGCGTTATTTCCATTGATCCTGAAAACGGCGAAGCATGGAACAATCTCGCATCAGTACTCATTAAGCAAAATCGTAAACGAGAAGCATTCAATGCGTTGCAGCAGGGTCTTAAACAAAGATACGACAGCTGGAAAATGTGGACTAATTACATGTACGTGGCAATCGATATAGGAGACTTTGCTGAAGCCATTCGCGCTATGCAAAGAATAGTCGAACTACAATGGGAGAAGATAGGAGATCACTGTGTTGATTTAGAAGTGTTGGAGATTATAGTGAATTCTGTCACGCGTGGAGTCAGAGATGCAGATAATGAGGATACGTCAAGATTAGCTCCTAAACTCGAACATTTATTAAGTGATACTATCACATCTCATATGACATCTAATCCCAAAATATGGAAATTATGTGGCAATTTTTGGTTTTGGCAAAAAGCTTATGACAAAGCGCTCGAAGCACATCTCAAAGCATGGAGAGCAATTTCCAAAAATGAGAAACTGACATATTCAGTTCTAACATTCAATGATGTTGCTCGTGTTGCTCTTGATTTGGTGGAAATGTATCAGAATGTTGGTCCGTTGATGTGTGAAAGAGACAAAGAAGAGAAATTGGCGGATGGAACAACGCGAGTTATCAAAGTGGAGGAGATTGTGTGTAAGGATTGGTTACGCCAAGCTACAAAAGTATTGAGTGGATTGATCAAAACTACTGAGGATTATTTTGGGGGAACTGAAATGCATAATAGTTTAGTGAATACCTTGAAAGATCTTAATCAATTAAAAGAAGAATAATTTGCCAGTAAAGGCCCATCTATTAGTAAATTGCAGTAATATATAGTGAATGAGGTAATTAGCACAATTATTTATTCAGTTCATTAAGCGTTATAGTTGATATGCAAGCTTTCAATTTCATGTCTGGGATTTTTTATAAGGGATTTATCATTAGCAGTCTCTGATATTAAACAACCAAGAACGTCTTGTTTGTAACAGACCAATCACAATGTTTCCATATCATGTACTATCGTAATGTATTGTTTGCATATTATTGATGTATGATTCCTTATCCTGATATTTTTCATAGCCTGTAGGACCATTAAGAATAATGGCTTAATAATCATAGACAAATTACTTTAAGAAAGTGTATATGAACCTAGACTGTACTAGCTATATTATTAAATTAGAATCACTGGTTTCGTGTCCTTTATTAATATTAAGCGTAAATTAGAATCACTGGATGAATTTTTTAAAAAACCAACATAAATATTATAGAAATGCTTACCCTATTACTACATGTTCAAATGAACGTTTTAGTGTCTCCGTAACCATATTCCAAGGTATTCTCCCTCAATATCAAGACCGTCAATATCTCCATAATTCAAGTTTCCCGCAGCAGAAACGTTTGAAAAGGAGTAGTCAGTTAAGTGGTATGTGCTAATACTAAGCAGTAAAAGATTCTCGCAAAGGAGAAGGTAACGCGGCTTTTACGCGACTTTTTGTGACTATTGGAAACATTCTTTACTCACTTTATTTATTTATTAATTAATTACACTTTTTTTCTTGTATTAGTATACTATTGTTCTTATTTAAATTTTCTTTTTATCGCAATTATGAATTTTCACGTTTGATTACGCTTTTGTAAAATACCTTTGCATATTTCTTTTGCTTTTTGACTTTTTGTTTTAGCTTGTATAATGAAAGATACTTTAATAAATTCGACATGTTAATAAATCTAAGTGAATTGTTTGGTGATCGAATCAGGGCAGGATGAGAGAACGAGAAGAGTGCGGTCTATATCCATCAAAGTTTCAGCGTTTCAAAGGTGTTTGGTCTATTACTATTGCAGACTTGGAGTTCATATCATGCTAAATATGCATAACGTTGAGACTATCTGTTGACTGCTCGTTGCTCTGCCAATGAGGATTTGAAAGAATATCATCTACAAGATGAAATTAATGACCCAGGGCTGCTCCAGCTTCAGAAAAATTCTTTGAATATTCAAGTGACCGGGTAGATCGCGAGGAACTTTCATTCACAGCAAGATGCTTGCTAAAGCCCAGTTTAAGCTTATATATGAAAAATTACGCCAGATGACAAATTTATCAATAAAAGTATAACAACGCGTTCTCTTTGTTTATTTTCATAATTTTTTCTGTTAAAAATGCCTAAGAAATTTACTTGGTCCCAAAGGCGACAGAGAATTTGTGGGAAAGTAGAATTCATGATGTATCTCAGCCGCGGCGTGCAATTGTCAGACATCCACTCAAGGTTCATGTTTTTTGTTCGCGGATTTCGTTGTTTTACTGAAAATATGAATGGAGAGCTTTACCGGAAAAATTTAACGGAAAATCTTTTCTCCAATGCTTCAACCTATCGGGGTGATTTTCCATCAAGACATTGACCCCTAGCACACTGCCAGGTTAACAAAGGAACTTCTGAAAGAAAAATGTCCAAAAGTTCTTGATTGGCCTTTTACTCACCTGACTTAAATTGACCACTAGATAAATTTACGTTATTACTTATTATTATTATTTTGTGCAGATAAAATTTTATGTAAATTGGTTGTGAAATAAAAAATTTAAAATTCTCGCCACTACTGATATAGTGACCATTTGAAAACCATACGTGTAATGTAAATACTATACTGCTACAATCGCTACATTCTTTTAACTTGATTTTGTTACACATCGTCCATATTTATATCAAACAGACAATGTTCATTGACAAAAAATTAAATTTACAGAATTGTTGTCTCTCGAACAAAGAAAATGGACTTCTTAAAGGCAGAGATCGAAAAGAAGAGAAAAAGAAATGAATCATTGTATAGTACCGAAGGATCTACAACGAAAAAGTACCTGCGTCAGAGAGATCTAGAGAAAAAGAGAGAGGAAGAATATTTGAAGGAACAAACTGAGAGGGAGAGACAACGGGAGGTACGGTACGCGATAAAGTCTACATAGAGAAAGGATTCCGAAGATCATAACCAGCGATTCTCTTTCTTTTCTTTTTATTTTTTCACAGGAGAAGTTGAAGGAGAAGAATCGAACGGTGCGATTTTACACGTTTTGATAAATATTCGTAGTTACTATTTACCGTGTGTCTAATTCTCGTTCGATTTACATTCTTAGCAGTTCTTACGCCTAGCCGAACAAAAAAAGGGAGATAAATCAGGTTCAGACGGAGAAGGCCATAATACTGGCGTAAGTACTGACTTGATGTTTGCCCATTCAATATAACATTAGTTTTCTTTGACCTTTGTTCCCCATATTGAACTCACGATTCTCCTTTTAAACTTGCTCCCAAAGGCTAACAGTAGTGATACGCTAAATATTGCCGTAGATGAAGTAGTACGACGTCTTCGCGCAAAAGGACAACCGATTCGACTTTTCGGCGAAACCGATGAGGAGCGCAAGATTCGTCTAAGAGCACTTGAAGTCATTGAAGAGAGAACGGAAGTAAGCGATAAATCAGATTTATTTGTGCTGATTAATACAAAGATATATACAGTTAACTACACACACGTATTTGTATGCACATAGGGTCAACGAAATGATTTTATGAAAACATTGGAAGAGATGGAGACGGGTCTGGATCTCGAAGTGCTTGGTTCACGAGGTGACGGCTCTGCTGATAAAGATGAAAAAAAAAAGAAGATTATCGAAGACTCTGCATTGGTAAGTTGCTGTTACGCTCTTATTCATGTTGCAATTGTAACGTCATCTGTTGCTGACTCATGTCTAAATTCTGTCATAAGGACGCAACTCAAATATCGCTAGAATTACTAGAAAAAGATCCGGACAAACTTCATATGTTAATTTACACATTTTTCAAGAGACTTTTGCGAGAGTGGGAACAGGAATTGAATAATCGCCCTGATAATGTGAAACGCAGTACTCAGGGTAAACTTCAGGCCGCTATCCAGAGACAGACTACCGAATATTTGAAACCATTCTTTCGAACATTGAAAAGAAAGGTGCGAATTTTAGTTTCCATTGGGAGTTTGGTGTTGATTGAGCAGACTATTGTGGATTTTAAGATGTGAGTACCATAGATTTCTCATACACTTTGAAACCCAAATTCAGAGAATAGAGCCCGATGTATTGGCGCGAGTCACTGAAATAACGCATTACATGCAAAAGCGAGAATATATAAATGCCAACGATGCATATTTACGACTATCAATTGGTAATGCCCCATGGCCCATCGGAGTTACTATGGTGGGGTAAGTAATACGTCAAATAAGCAAAACGCTGTTTTTGTATTTTCGAGGTTTCTTTCCTTATTACAAGCCTTAATATTACTTCTTTTGACTCATACACATGCACTCTTCTTCTCTCCTAGTATCCACGAACGTTCGGCACGTGAAAAGATTTTCTCGGCTCAGGTAGCTCATGTACTTAATGACGAAGCCACTCGTAAGTGGATTCAGTCGATAAAAAGATTGATGACCTTTTGCCAATCGAAATATCCTCCCAAGGATAATTCGCAGCTGATGGGATGAAAATTATATATGGATATAAAAGACTTGGAGATACACTGTTTAGTTGGGTAATCGTAATTGTTAAATAAATTATACTCGCAAGTATTAATGTAATATTACATTCGGAAGAGACTTTAGAGAGACTATATTAAGATAGCTTGTTCCTACACAGTGACTTTTCTTCTCATAAATATTTACTAATGATACGATAAGGAAGAGTTCAATCTGTATTAATTTATCGTCCGCCCAGCGAAAGGTTGGGGCTGAAAACGAATTTTATTAAATTCGCTCAAAAAATTAAATGATCGTTTAGAATACATAAACTTCGAATTCAATACACCCCAGCCGGGAGCGATTCATGTTTTGAGTGTACTCTGTAAGTGTAGACAATAAACAATGTGTTGAGACCTTTTCTCGTTTACAAGACTGCCAATTCACATCCGTTTGAATAGCTTAGTTACAACTGTAATCTATTTATTATACCTACTCTCCCTTTTCCCTTCCCTTCCCTCCTCCTCCCTTCCTACAAGCAATAGTTCTTGAAACCGAATATGAAACATACCCAGTTACTTAAATTTGGCACCCATTTCCAGAGACGAGTTTCACGTTGACATCTCTTCTGCTGTCAAAATTCCCAGTTTATCCTTAAGAGGCTTCAATTCTTCCAAGTATAAATTATATTGTTGCTGATTCTCAACTTTTTGTTTAAGGCCCTCAAAAATTCTAACTGCAGTAGAATAATCATCCATACGTCGGGCAGCATTGAGTGCTGCCTCAATTATCGGGACGGCAGGAACCAAGTCGTAAGCAAAGCAATTGTTTAAGCCTCGTTGCAAGTCAAACAAATCCTCGGCGTTTTCAAAGTATTTAACGTAGCGATCGGTAAATGCCTCGAAGGATTCATCTTCATGTCCCGACGAGTATAATCGAATACTCGCAGGTGCAATTGAAGGGGCTTGGAAAGATGGGAAGACAGAATGGAGAGCTTGTTAATAGTTGAAGATTGGAGTTTTGAAATACAAATGAAATTGTAGTCTTGTTTTCTAAAGATACTGTTATTCCTTTTCCTTTCCCTTTTTCTTCTTTCCCCTGCTCTTACTCCTGCTCTTTTCGATCTTTTCTCCATGTTTTACCCAGCCTACCAACAGTTTCCAACGATCTGGCTCTCCTCGTGCCCAGTGCGCTCCTTTCAATACCAACTCGAGGAAATACGCGAATGATGGCAGGGAGTCTGTTCATGTTCACCTATCACTATCGAGTTGCTCCTATGGCTATTGGTAATGCGTTATGGTTTGGAGACGATGCGATGGATAAGTTTTTTTCTCCTTGTCGCGAGAATACGATTAACTGTATATTGTGTTGTAAAGAATTTTTTTTTATCGGATGATTTATTATTTATAGTAATAGGCGATCTGTCCTACGTCAATAAGGAGATGATCGCAAGGATAATTGGGAGGGTATACATTTTAGAGAGGGAACAATCCGATTGGTTTCATGTCTCAAGTCACAAACATCGTTCTTCTGGCGATCTAATTTCTTTACGCGTCTTTTCCATATTATCGAGTTGCTTTTCATATGACCAGATATAACATTTGATATCTACGTGAGTAAATAAATAAATGAGTCATTAGAATGTAATTTATTATGTCTTATTCGAGTGCTGCAACTCTTGACTCAAGTCGCTTCTTGTCAGGCTGGCATTCATTCAAGTCTTTATCTTCTCAGAAAGCTGACTCGTAAATCTTTGTTGTTAGAATGCAGTAAACCAGCACCCTCACGTAATATTGTGTCGGTATACCTCACCTGCTATAATTCATGGAATTCTATTGAAAAAAAGCTAACAAAGGCTCTATGGAAGCGGCAAAAACTACCCGCATCATTAATTAAGCACGCTTACTCAGCAATCATCTCACCTGAAGTAAGACAACTTCCTTAATGCAGTGTTAACTGAGTCCCTGATAAAGTCGATTCTGCTTGCATTTGTGTCATCATATACACAGTTAGACGAATATGTATATTATTATATCCAATACTATATCATGTATATTTTGTCCTTACGTACGTACCACGAACAACTTCATCAGTATACAGCTGTCCCTTGGCCCTACTTTGAAATCGAATATACAGTATTTATTAATTACAAGCAAATTCTATTGATTAGACTTTTTCCGCCGACTCGAATTTAAGACAAATGTAACTTCAGTTGTGATCCCTTTGTTCTAGGCAGTTTCAAAAAATACATACCACTTGATCAAAAAACCATAGATGTTATTAAAAGCGAACAAACGATAAAATAGAATTGCTAGAAAAAGGCTTCATCCTTGACAAAGATCAGGGTCAGAGTATAATAGAGGAAATTAGTCAAACTATTGAAGAAAAGGAAAAAGAAAAAATATAGGACTTACAGTATATTTTCCCTGTAGTAGTATTGATATAAACGAATAAGTTTATAATGACGAGTGCAGTAAGCGATGTTAGTATTAGTTATAATATAGACGCCTTAGTGCCTAGATTCGATATCAATACATAACTTTCGATGGTTACAAGGCGTGCTGATGATTGATGAATCGTCCAATTTGTGAGTAAAAAAACTTTTATCGAAATATTACCGTATTTCTATGACTAGAATACCCCGGGTACTTCATCAGGGGGGTATTCTGATGGGAAGAAGTATACGTATATCTGTGTAAAGTACCCTTAAAAAATTTGTTATATCAGATAACTATGACAACAGTCAACAGCACTATTCACAGAGCGAATTTCAGTAATAAGGTACGTCGTTCTTGGTGTGTTCGCGAGAAACTAATGGTTGTAGGGTATCAGTAGAGATGGACGGTAGCAAAGATGAGATTCTGTTCGATTATTATGGTTGAATTAGAAGACGAATTTACAGTAGACGCGGATAAAGAAAATAGGAATGATATGCTTGACGGACCAATGACATTGATAATGTTTATGAAGAGGATACCGTTACAGTATTCGAAAAGATGTAGTAGGCTGATAAGTTCTTGTTACCTTTAAAATATTTTCTAACACATTCAGTATACTACAAATAAAATAAACATGAATAGTTTATATGAGATCATAATGTCAATTGTGAATTTGGCAACTAAGTTTATGACATGGACATGATCTTCCATTTTTCCTTCACATAATTGCATCTGAGACATATTTGTAGGGTTCAAAAGTCATATTCATCAGGATAGGGAGTCGGGCTTCGATACTGACTCCCCCGGCTCCCAATTTCTATTGGTGATTCCGTAGGATTTTGATACGAAGGAACTAATCGAATACCTGCGGGAGAAGAACTTGAAACTTATTGAGGCGATAAATTATCTGGCATCACTTACATAACAAACAATTTCAGCATATATGATAGTCCGCGTGTACAAGACGACACTGTTTCCAACCATTGCATCTCAAGGAACCAATTCTGAACAGTTCCCAAAGGATGCCTGCAAGTTTTCAATTGTTTCAGTGTTGGGACATTCTTCAAGTTCTTTGCCCAACATAATATTTGCATTTTCTCCATCCATTGCCTTTATCCTATTTTGGACAATAAAATCTTGCAACTCTGGACGGTGTTTAGGATCATTGTTCTGTTGCAAGCGCCAATTCCTACCATATATGCTGAGTTGGGTCTACAAAATATTTATGTAGAACAGGCCATCCATTATTTCCGTGAAGCAAAATAGAGGTGTTTTTCCTCTCTTTGAGATGCCTCCCTATGCCATAACTTTTTGGCGTGATTTTGACAACCTTCGGATAGTTTTTCATCACTTTTGTTTCGAAAAATGTCGAATGCCGTCTCGTCGGTGAAAATCGTTTTGTCCCACCTATCACGCAAATGCTCCCTCTACCCGTTTTGCATATGACTATTCGTAAGCATGGGCGTGGCATGAGGTACGGAACTTCCGCCAAATCGTCATATGTGAAATTGAAGTATCTTGGGTTTCTTCTACTGCTACAGCAAGTTGCCGCGCACGCGTACCGGTATCCTGAACTTCCTTTTCAATTATCAATACGTACCAACTCGTACATGTGTAACTCAAAATAAACGCGTAATCCATGGATCAAAACAAAGCTTATGTAATGGACTATTATTTACTTGCTTCACGCTTTACCCAAAACAAAGATGTAAAATGTCTCAGTCCGTTAACGAAAGACGACAAACGATCTTATAGTATTCGAAAAATGGGAATACGCAAAGCCCCTAAAATACGATTATTGACCAAGATTTCGATAAGAACAATCTATTATGTAAAGCACAGAGGGGGAAACGAAAAAATTATAAGTAATATTGATGCTCGTAGAATTGGCCAGTACGTTCGAAGAAACCCGACCATTTCTATTAAATTAATTGCGAGTAAAAAAAACACGACGCTCATATCACACTCATATCATACGACACTCATATTATACAACAACATGTGTCACTGTCCCGTAGGTTTTCCTCGAAGAACGTGATGCGAGCAGCCATGTGTGGTTCCGTCAAAAGCAAGTGCCAGCATGCACTCACACCAGATACAGAGAATTGCTGGATATGAAGGAACTATGGTCTCTCATATAACTGTAGGACGTCATTTGGCTGAATATGATTATAAAAATAACCTTTCCCTTACCGCTCTAATGCTAATAAAGGCTCATAAAGAAAATCGAGTAATATGGGCCGGAAAACACTTAAATGACAATTGGAAACGGACAACTTCACTGATAAAACATCATTTCAATTGTTTCGGAACGCAATTAAACATTGGCATAAGGGCAAGGCCAATACGTCCAATGTCGAAAGATCGACGCAAAATAATGGTTTTTGTGCAAATACAAAGGGAAGGCCAGTCTCTTTTGCTTTAGCCATCCAATGCAAGGATCACCAACAAACGATTGGTAATTATTATTATCATCATTTTTATAAGAAGTCAAAGACATACTAATGTATATAATATTTTTAGGGATCAAGCACATCCGGGAATTAAAAGGGGCATTAGATGATTGCCCACCAGGTACTGCAGGTATCTTGGTAGGTAATCAGTTCTCTTGGTGGGCCCGTATAGGGGTTAAATTATCGTGGGGGTATGATATCATCCTCACTACTAGAGAAAATCTAATAGAAGATATGAGATATCAACCTTTACGACAGCGAATTAGTTTTTTGGTGGCTTTGTGGGGGAGTGTTAATATTTGTAATGTTATGTTATATTTCTTATATTTGTTTCAAATTATCTACGAATATTTATAAATGAAAATGTGTTATTATCGGGTTTTACATAATGACGCTTATTCATAAAAAATCATCGAAGTGTTGATTTACCCTTCTCAGATATAATAATAAAATCATATAATTTAAATTCCTTCATTATCTAAAGAAATTTCCACTTAGAAATCTTTTATGTTTTCCGCAAACTATTTCTGTACTATTGTTATAATAACAGTTTCTAATCTTGCTACAAACATTATTCTCGGAAGCTAGAATAATTCGAAATTCATTTTCGGCATGTAAAATTGCTGATCTGGAAAACCCCATCGAATACCATGCTCAGCGTACCATTAGGGCCTTTACCGATAATTTCGTCTTCATCGAGAACGTAATTAATTTGTTCGTGTACTGCTTAATCTTGAATACCAAATAAATGCACTTTACGTGGACTAAGATAATAAGTTTTACTTACCTGTTGATCGGAATGGGGTACGTGAACATTTTGCGCTCAATCGTAACTGTAATGAGCAGTCGCGTCAACGCTACAATAATCAGCTTTACCTCTTGTTATAAAATGCTCATCTACCAATTTTCTCCGTTGTGCTGCTAATTCGTATTTTTGTTGTAATAGTTTCTCTCTAATTTAGCCTTAACTAAATGTTCTTTGAATATTTTCAGCAAATCTTTTGCTTCTTCTTCCTTGCGAGCATTATACTGCAAGCCCATTCCGAAATGTTGGCACGCGTCTCATAAATCCGTTCGTGTACTCATAATTTGAACGTAAGGCGTTAATTGGTGCCATAACTTGCAAAACGCATCATATTTTAACAATTTCAATGTACTATCATTTTCGATAGACTGATTTGTAGCTCGTTTCGGCTGGCAAAAGTGTAAGCGATTGCGTAGCGTAAACGGCTGACCGATGTATCCGATGTCCATTTTAGTACCCGGGGTACTTAAGTAGGGGGGATATTTTGTATTGGTGGGGGGTACATTCCGTGAGTTGTACCCCCCAAAGAGATTTATTTTTCCGGGGACCGTTGCAAATGTAGATGTGATCTGCATGTTGACTTCTAACTTAATATTAATTAGAAAAGCATTCAAATGTTGTGGCATTTCGGTAAACATGGACGGAACAGAAGATGAATTAGTTTTGATTATGAGGGTTTAGTAGAAGAAAATAGTGAAGAAGTTTTGGTAGTTGATTCTATTGATGGAGAGACATATAATTAAGTAAAAGGTTATGAAAATGATTGGGCAAGCGAAGAATAATTAGAAATATTAGATAAATAAAATTTTGTTGTTGTACCCGGG